GGTGTGCTCTCACTTGTTCAGTGAAGCACATAAGCACCTACAAAGACAATTCACACAGTAGCTGGTAGGAAACCCATCAGAGGAAAGCAGTATGTGTGTTAGGTAACTAAAAGCTAGAGGGAAGTGCTTAGTCAGCTGTGCTTCTCATTAAAGTCATGGCAAGTTCCTTGGCCTTGAAGGCAAGAATTCTAGCTCATCTGCTAAGTTTAGACATAGAGACCTGAACATGGATCTCCTGTTCCTGGAAGCATACTCAGAGGGTCATTCAGTATCAGGTATTTGAGTCTACTGGCCAGGGAGTAGCAGGGGTGCTCCATGACAGAGGACAAGCTGGAAGCCAAGGACAACCACAACACAGGCAGGGATAGTGACCTCCCCACGGAGTGCAGGGAAGGTGGCGGTACCTGGACCAGTCAGCAGCCCAGTGACTGCCAGACAAGTGCAAGGTGATGACTCAAGTTCAAGGCCAGGCCAAAAAGTCCAGTCAATAAACCAGCAAGAGCATAACGGCAGCTCAGTCTGCACCACAGCTCACGCAAGGACCAAGAGGCTCTGGGCTGAGCTCCAGGACCAACATGCAGACAGGGTGTACACGGGGGTCCCAGGTGAGACAGAGCAACTCAGGGCTGCTGGCGCACTCGGGAAAATGACCCCACCTCCCCCACGCTCCAAATGAGCATTCTCACCACTCATGCTTAATGCTCTCCTTTTCTCTCTGGCCACATAAATATGTTGTATGAAGTACAAAAACATTAATTTGCAGGTATATTTGCTTGCTTGTTTACTATACAATACCTACTGCCTCGATGTGACCAGCATGGATGGAACTACACAGCTACCAGCACCAAGTTCTGAGACCATATTCAGGAACTGTACTCAACTCCCTGCTTCAAACAGGGGGAAAAAAAAAAAAAAAGATTTGAAAGCAAACATACAATTGCTCAGATGAATGCATCTAATTGCAGACATATCCAAACAGCAAGGAGTGAAATGAAAAAGCTCTAATAAAAAAAACTCACCACAGCACAGGTTGAGGGTCAAACCTGCCAGTAATTTATGGTTTTAGTTACAAAGTTACCATCTGTTAACAGAGGTCAATTACAAACATCTTACAGGGCCTCTGCTTACTCGGTCCATGTACCAGTGATAATATGAACTGACAGCCAAACAAACCTCCTATCAACTTTGTTCAGGAAAAATGTGTCTTAAGCATGCCTTCTGATTCCAGCTTTTCAGATCCAACAGTGCATAGTCAGGGTCAACCTGCTACTGGTTTATTACTGGAAAACTAGGTGCCTGCTGATGCAAAACACCTTCAAATCATGCTGTCAGTCCTGAAGGCATTTTTCTCTGCCTGAGTCTTTTCAGTGAATTTAGCCAGACTGCTTAGCACAGTATTGGGAAAGATTTGAACATCCATCTGGTCTAGCTAGTAGCACTGGACTATACTGTTTCAGCACTGGTTGTAAAACAGCCTTGTCTACTCAGGGCATCCCAAATGGCAAGACACAAAGGACATTTATTGTGTCACAGACTTAAGCACCAAGGCAGCACTTCTTCCAAGTGTTTTCTTACCAGCAAGAGGAGTATTGCTCCCACCCGCAGAATATGTAACCAGGCTTATTCACTGGTTTGCAAAGCATAGAAGTATTAATGGCAATGAGATCTAGAACTAGATATTAGGATCTTCAGTCTTGACATAATAGACTGCCTTCCCAATAATTTCAGGGGGAAGCAGAGTCATTACAGTATCAGAAAGGCTCGATACAAATGCTTCCGTCTACTTTGAATATCTGTGTGTATATACATACGGCAAGAACATATTCATGAATCTCATCTGCTCTCACGTTTCTGAGCTCTGATGCCGAGCTCTCAGACCCCACAGAGAAGCTGCACGGCAAGGATCAACCCTCAGCTGGCAGAGGCCACTTCTCCAAGGAAGCGTCTCCGAGGCACCGCCAACAGCCAGGCGTGCCGACAGCTGCCGCAGCGCCCGCCG